CGCTTCACAGTTCGTGGGTCTGTCGCGTCATGGTACGGCGTTTTCGCAGTCGGCGCCATTCGCCGCACCAGAGTCGCCGGGGCCTTACAATCATCAAACGACGGGTCCCGTCGCACCGACATCGACGCGCCTATCCCCTACCGCCAGAACAAGCATGTCCTCTTCGGCCAACAGGAGGGCCGCTGCAACGGCTGCAAGTCCGCGTTCGAGTTCCGACACCTGGAGGTTGACCACGTCATCCCCCAGCGCGCAGGTGGACATGACCACCTGGAAAACATACAATTATTGTGTCCTCAATGTAACCGGGTCAAGGGTGACCGGCCGCAGGCATACCTGGTAGCGCGGCTACGGGAGATGGGTATGGTGGCGTAAATGTAAAGTAAGGAGATACATCATGCCCACAACTAAACCCACAGCATTCGTGTTGATGCCGTTCGCTCCGGAGTTCGATGACATTTACAGGCTCTTCTTGCATCCTACTCTGACTGAATGTGGATTTGATGTAAAGCGAGCGGATGACATTACGAGCCAGCAGAATATCCTCAGGGATGTCATAAATGGTATCGTTGACCGTGACCTGATAATCGCCGATTTGACCGGTGCCAATCCTAACGTGTTTTACGAGCTTGGTGTGGCTCACGCGTTGGGTAAGCCGGTTATCCTGATTACACAGAACATAGACAAATTACCTTTCGACTTGGAACAATACCGTAGCTTGGGGTACAGCAGAGACTTCGCCAGCATCGAACAAGTTAAAAGAAATCTTTCTCAGTACGCACTTCAATTTTTGCGCGACGAGATTAGTTTCGGCAACCCTGTCAGTGACTTTCGCCAAGTCAATTCAGTGCAACAAGGGCCTTTGTTGACAGTCGCTACCGTTGAAATTGGTGCGAACGCCCAAGGATACCTTGACCATGTCGTTTACTTTGTGGAAAGCTATGAAAATCTAACTACATCATTGCTAACTATTATACCTCTCGCGCAAGAGATTACAGATAAACTCACAGCTACCGCTCATAATATAACGACGATGACGGGTAATCCGAACTCGTCGTCCTATCGTGGATTGCGCGACAAATTTAACCGAATTGCTCTTGATGTTGGTGCTTTTGCCACTAGACTGCATGAGATCAACAATAAATATGCCGCGGTGACCCGCGAAACTCAGCCCAGTGTGGAGTTTATTACAGCATTTGAGGTAGCACAGGTCCACGTATCTGGCATTGATGCGACTGAACAAATCACATCCTTGCAGGAAACTCAGCGCACGTTCATACCTCAACGGAACCAATTGGTTGCATTGTCCTCCGAATTGGAGTCACTGCCTAATGTGGAGCGAAGCTTTGACCGCGAATTGCGGAGAACTATTGAGGAAATCAGAACTCTGGCCGCCAATTACAATAGCACAATCACCATGCTTTCTAATATCATTGACAAACTATTCAGCTTGACCCAATCACCGAAGAGATGAGTGTCGGGCGGGTTGAAGGGTAAGAAAGTGCTCCGGGCTTCTGGGCTAATGGTTGTTTGAAACAAGAAGAAAACCGACCCGAACGGGAGGCACTGTTAGATGCTACCCACTGGGCAGCCCGACCAGCATCCACGTCGCTTCTCTGATCACCGTCTGGTGGCAATGCCGGCTCGCTCCTGCCGGTCACCCTGCCCACCATCTGGGTCTGGGTGAACTGGTGGACCGCCACGTTGACCTGGGAGATGCGCCGGGTCGAGCCAACCCGGGGGACAAGCTGCTGACGCTGGTGGCGTCGGCCCTGGCCGGCGGCGACTGCATTGACGACGCCGACGTGTTGCGCACCGGCCGGACGGCCAGCGCCATCGGCTGCGTGGTCAAAGCGCCATCCACCCTGGGGACCTTTCTACGCAGTTTCCGGTGGGGTCATGTTCGCCAGTTGGATCGGGTGAGCCGGGAGTTGCTGGCTCGGGCCTGGGGCCGCGGTGGGGGCCCGGGCGATGCGCCGTTGACCATCGACCTGGACTCCACCATCTGCGAGACCTACGGACTGGGCAAGGAGGGCGCCCGTCGCCATGGCTACACCGGCCAGCGGGGCTATCACCCGCTGCTGGCCGTCGCCGCGGACACCGGCGACGTGCTGATGGTGCGGCTGCGCCAGGGTCGGGCCAACACCGCTCGGGGCGCGGACCACTTCCTGCGGGAGACGGTGGGCCGGGTGCGCTACGCCGGAGCCATCGGACAACTCACCGTCCGCGCCGACAGCGGCTTCTACACCCACGCCATGGTCGCCGTCTGCCGCAAGATGGACGTCCGCTACTCCATCACCGTCCGCCAGCACCAAAGCCTGCGCAACCTCATCGAGGCCATACCCGAGAAGGACTGGACAGCCATCCCTTACTGGATGGACGGCGCTGCCGACGTGGCCGAGACTGAATACACACCCTTCCAGCATGAGCCCGACGCCGCACCGGCGCGGCTCATCGTACGCAGAGTGCAGCCCGCGCCTGGTTCCCAACTGGCGCTGCTTACCGACTACAGCTATCACGCCTGCATCACCGACCGGGAGGGCGACACTCTGGAACTGGAGGCCGACCACCGCCGCCATGCCGAGATCGAGAACGCCATCCGCGACCTGAAGTACGGCGTGGGCCTCAATCATCTTCCCCTCGGGACGCTTCCCCGCCAACGCCGCCTGGCTGGCGGTGCAGGTCATGGCCCACAATCTGGCTCGCTGGACGGCGCGCATCGGCCTGGGCGAGCTGGTGGTTACCACCAAGACCCTGCGGCGACGCTTCTTCTCCCTCGCCGGACGCATCACCCGCAAGGCCCGTCGCCTCACCCTGCATCTGCCCCAACACTGGCCCTGGGAAAACCAGTTCAGTCGCGCCCTGGAGCGATTGCGAGCCCTGCCGCTCCCTTCCTGACGCCGCCTTCGGCGTCCGACCCTTCAACCAGACCGTCCAACCGCCTGGTCGTCCCGCGTCAGGCTGAGCTCCGCGGGTCTCCAGCTGCCATCTGCCCGACGATCTCGCCCTCCGCGGCCACTCGCGAGCCGTCAGCATCCCCCTGGCATAGCTGTCTCTACCCTCACCCGCTCGAATCCGGCGGCGTCAGGGCACTGCACCATCACCCACGCTTCTCTTCCCTTGCGTATCCAGCCCCCACGCAGTCCTTTCGGTGGATTCGGTTTGACGCAATCTGGACATTCTGGCTGCTCAGGCTGACCAGTCCAAAACCGACGGTACGTCGCAAGAACTGTGATACTCCGAGCAACTACGAGGTTTGGGCAACGGTAGCCAGTGCTAGAAGTAAGATGATTGATGCTGGCGACCCTGCTTCCAATAGGCATCACGTCTCCATGCCTATGAAGGTTGTATTGCTGAACCATACAATGTTAATGCCGACTGGCTCGAGATCCCCGTCCCGTCGCTCCTCAGCCGTTCGTTGACGCGTCTAACCCTGCGGACTACACTGCCGGCCACCGTATCGGATAACTCGCGTGGGTTCCAAAAGACCCACGGCACAGGGAGGCGCTCATCATGCCTTTGCCGCCGAACCGCGTAGATTACAGCCCCATCATCGACCGCCCCGTCATCAAGTGGCCCAACGACGCCCGGGTGGCCTGTGGATCGCTCCCAACGTTGAGCACTACGAATACCAGCCAGAATTCGACGGGCATCGCAACCCCTGGCCGCGCACTCCCTATCCCGATGTCCAGCAGTACGCCTACCGTGACTACGGCAATCGGGTGGGCTTCTGGCGCATGGCCGACGTGCTCGACCGGCACAACATCCGCTGCTGCGTGTCCCTGACATGGCTTCCTGGAGCATTTCCCGAAATCGGGGAGGCCATGGTGCAGCGCAACTGGGACTTCATGCGCCACGGCATCTACAACACCCGCTACCTGAACCACTACACCGAGGAGCAGGAGCGCGAGTTCTACCGCGACACCATCGACACCTGAAACGGCACACCGGCAGCAGCTCAAGGGGATGCTGGGGCCCGCCATATCCGGCACCGAGCGCACCCCCGACCTGATGGCCGAGGCGGGCCTCATCTACCATACCGACTGGATGCACGACGACCAGCCCGTACCCATCAGGGTCAACAGCGGCAAGCTCGTCTCGGTGCCGTACTCCATCGAGCTCAACGACGCCCCCCTGTTCCGGCAGCACTACGAGGGCGACTACTTCGCCGAAATCTGCAAGGCCCAGTTCGACCAACTCTACCTGGAAGGCGCAGAGAGTGGACGGGTCATGTGCATAGCCCTGCATCCCTACCTCATCGGCCAACCCCACCGCGCCCGGTACCTGGACGAAGTGCTGGGCTATATCATGTCCCACGACGGCGTCTGGCAGACCACGGCGGACGACATCGCCGAGTACTACATCGCCAACTACTACGACCAGTCGGTTGCCCACGCAGCGCAATTGAACAACGCCGCCGCGTAGGGGCGAATAATTATTTGCCCATACGGCAAGGTGTGCAGTACGCGTAGGAGCAACCACAGGATTGCCCCTGCATTGCTGCCGCGCCGCTTGGAATAAAACCCCGCTGGCCACGATAATGAGGTGAAGAGATGCCCGCAGAACGGCGCTTTGGCATGGATCACGGGCACTACGACTGGTCGCCCTTCAACAAGCGGGGCATCCTGCGCTGGCCCGATAACGCGCGGGTTGCCCTGTGCGTCATCGTCAATCTCGAGCACCCCGAATGGGACCCGCCGGAGGACAGCTTCACCACGCCCTTCGCCGGCGGCCTGGGCGCCCGGGGCTTCCCGGACTACGCCCGGCTGTCCCACCGGGAATACGGCCATCGGGTGGGTATCTTCCGGGTGCTCGACACCCTGAGAAGCACGGCATCCCGGCCACGGTGGCAATGGGACGCATGACCGCCGAGAAACTATCCCTACCTGGATGCGGCATTGCCTGGACGCCGGTGCCGAATCATCGGACACGGGTGTCCCTGTCGCGCATGATATCCAGCAACATGTCCGAGACGCCGAGCGGGAGTACATCATTCCCAATCGGTTGCCGCCCTTTCGCGCCACCGGCAGCGCGCGCTGTTGGGCCCGAGTACGGCAGTCCCGACCGCACTCCTCCGCAGCTGTTTGTCCGAGGCCGGCCCTGCGCTACGTCTGCGACTGTCAACGATGAGCAACCATATCCCCTAACACAGCCCCCCACGGGGATGTTCACCCTGCCCGTCATGTGGGAGCTGGACGACGTGTCAGCTCTCTGGGAGCGCCGCGTGGTCGTCGGACGGTATCAGCAGCTCCTGGAAGAGAGTTTTGAAACGCTGTACGAGGACGGCCAGCAAAACGGACGCCTGCTGGCGCTGAACCTGCACCCCTGGCTCATCGGCCAGCCCTTCCGCATCGGCTATCTCGACCGCGCCCTGGGCCTCATGATGCGCCGGGGCGGCGTGTGGGCCGCCACCGGCTCCGAGATCGTGGACTGGTATCGGGACAATCCGCCGACGGCTTAGGGCGTTGCTTCGAATGCCGTCCCAGGCGCCGGAGCTGGCCGCTGGTGTCATCGGGTAATCGCGTAGAGAAACTGGTCGATGACTTGGCCGTCTTTCATAACGCTCTTTTTCAGATGCCCTTCGCACTGGTAACCCGCCTTCTCCATCACCCTGGCCGAGGCGGGGTTCCAATCGTAGACGTACCCGTACACGCGCACCAGGTCAAACTGCTCAAAGGCGTACTCGGTGAATGCCCGCAGCGCGGCCCGTGGCGATACCGTCCCCAGAACGGTTCCCCCAACCAGTAGCCCACCTCGCCCGAGCGGCGGTGCACGTCCCGCTGTAGCTGGAGCCCGATCCCCCCCGATCAGTTCGGTTGCCGAGGCCAGGGCAAGTCGGTTTCCCTGGGTTCTTGCGAGACCAGGCTGATCCAGGTTTCGGCATGGGCCAGGGTGTAGGGATGCGGAAATGCGTCGCGCAGGTTCCGCGACACGTTCCGGTTGTTGGCGTACCGGGCCAACGCCTCGGCGTCTTGGCTGTGAAAACTCCGGATCTGCCATTCACCCATTTCTATGCGCATCGTTCACGACCTGCACCGTACAGCATATGGAACAGAATACGCTTCTATGCCGAGGGTTGCACTTCCGCGCTGCCTCCAATCAAACCCGTCAAATCCATCCGGCCGTAGTCCGCCTCGGGCAGCCACACGCCGGCCAGTCGCGCCGGGCGCCTCGCTGTGCCTTCTCCGGGCCGCGATATACTGGGATGCCGCGCCGTTCGGTCACGCGAATTCCATCGCTTGGACCGTGCGTGCCCAATCGAAAAATCTCGGAGCGAGCCATGCCATCTCAACCCAATCAAGCCCTGGATCCCCAGCCGGTTATCCTGACCGGAAACCTGGTGCGCCTGGAACCACTCACCCTGGACCATGCTGAGGGAGTGTACGCGGCGGCAGCGGACGAAGCGATATGGCGATATTTGCCCCGTCCCGGATTCAGCAACCTGTTGGACGCGGAAGGTTGGATCAGCGAGGCCCTGGCAGGACAGGAGAAGGGGCAACAGGTCTCGTTTGCCGTGGTGGATCGCGAAACCGATCAGGTGGCGGGCTCAACGGCATTCCTGGATATCGACCGAAATCACCGGACGCTGGAAATCGGCTGGACTTGGTATGGGACGGAGTGGCAGCGTACCGGCGTGAACACCGAGTGCAAGTACCTGCTGATGCGCCATGCCTTCGAGGACCTTTCGGCAAGGCGGGTCAGTCTGAAGACCGACCACCGGAACGCCAGGTCCAGGCAGGCGATCTTGAGGCTGGGCGCGGTGGAGGAGGGGACCTGGCGCAACCACCGCATCGCCTGGGACGGGGAGGACCGGCACTCGGTGTTCTTCAGCGTCATCGTCTCCGAGTGGCCCGACGTGAAATCCCGCCTGGAAAGCCTGATGCGGCGATGAATCTCTGACCTTTGCAGCTACCCGAAGAGCAGAGCCGCCGCCGGCCGGTTCCCGGAGCGCTTCCCTGGCATGACGGTGCGCCGCAATGCGGGCGCGTGTTCCCGGTATCAATCCCAAGGAACGGTTATACTGGCGCCGCGCATCGTCATATCTGAGCGTGGGCCGCGCCCGGGCTGAGCCGGCGAAACCGACGGAGGAACGTACCAATGCACTGTGGAGTGATGGTCACCGGATACAACCAGGGTGACTGGCCCCGCCTGATGGCGGAGGATTACGACCGTCCGCCGGCGATACCCGACGCCAGCAATATGGACGACACCCTGTACATGGGGGAACTGGTCGAGCCCCTGGGGTTCGACTCGATCTGGGCCACCGAGCACTACGGTTCCGCCTACTCCATGCAGCCCAACCCGTTGCAGTACCTGGCCTACTGGGCGGGCCGCACCAGCCGCGTCGATGTCGGCACGGCGGTCATCGTCGCCCCGTGGTGGAACCCGGTGCGCCTGGCCTCCGAGATTTCCATGCTCGACATCCTGCTGAGGGGCCGGCGCCTCCACCTGGGTATCGGCCGCGGCATCGCCCCCCACGAGTACGCCTCCCTGGGCTACCCCATAGGCGAGTCGCACAAGTATTTCTACGATGTGATCAACGCCATCAAGGCCGCCGACGGCGCGGAGCGGTTCCAGTTCCAGGGCGATGTGTACGACATTCCGCCCACCACCATCCGGCCCCAGGCCCGCCACAAGGGCGAACTGACCAAGGACATCAAGGTGGCGTTCACCACGGAGGCCTCGGCGCGGATGGCCGCCGAAAATGGCCTTGGGCAGATGTTCGTCGCCGGCGACGATGTTGAAGAGATGATCGCCAAGGTGCGCCGGTTCAACCGGATCCGCAAGGAACTCAGCCTGCCGCCCGATCAACCCACCACGCTGTTGTGGATGTACTGCGCCGAGTCCACGGAGGAAGCCGAGGAGGGCTGGGTCTATTTCCACAACCAGCTCACCGCCGCCCAGCACCACTACTTCGAGTGGAACAACCCCGGCTATGAGGGCATCCACGGCTACGAGGAATACCTCACCCGCCAGCAGGCGGACGTCGGTACCGCCGATGCCGGTTTCGCTGCCCGCCGCGCAACCCAGCCCATCGGCACGCCCGACGAGATCATCGAAAAGATCCGGACGATGCAGTGGACCATCAGCCTCGAAAAGGTCGTGATCCACATGTTTTACGGAGGGATGCCGAGGGACAAGGCCGAAAAAAGCCTCAAGCTCTTCGCCGAGAAAGTCCTTCCGGCCGTGCAATCTATGCCCACCCCGATCAACCCCCAATCCCTGGAATAGCCTCGGGGTTGGGATAACAACGCGCCGATCACCATTCAGGAGCCCGCGTCATGACAAACAAGATTCGCCTGGGGTTTGTAGGAGCCAACGTCAATTCGACTTGGGCCGGCCAGTCGCACTTCCCGGCGCTGCTGGCCAGTCCCGATGTCGAGTTCACCGCCGTCTGCACCACCAGGCCCGAGAGCGCGGAAGAGGCCCGGCAAGCGTTCGGAGCGAAACTTGCCTTCCACGATTTTCGGGAAATGGCGGCGTCGCCGGAGATCGACGCGGTGGCCGTGGTGGTGCGGGTGCCGTCCCATTATGAGCCGACCAAGGCCGCCATCGAAGCCGGAAAGCACGTCCTCACCGAGTGGCCCCTGGGCCGCACCACCGCCGAAGCCGTAGACCTGGCAGACCTCGCCCGGGCCAAGGGCGTGCAGACTGCGGTCGGGCTGCAATCTCGCGTCAGTCCCGCGTTGCTGTACGTCAAGGAACTGATCGACGGCGGTTATGTGGGCGAGGTGCTGTCCTGTCATGTCACCACCATGCGTGACGGCCGGTTGGAACGCCATTCCAGCGGCACCTGGCAGCGCGATCCCAGCGCCGGCGCGAACTCCCTGACCATCGCCACCGGCCACGTCATTGACGCCCTGCGCTTCGTGGTGGGCGACTTCGCGCGGGTGGCGTGCATGGTCTCGACGCAAATGCCGCAGTGGTACGAGACCGATACCCAGCGTTATGTGGACGTCACCTCTCCGGACAACGTGCGGGTATCCGGACAGCTGGCGCGCGGCGCGGCGGCGTCGGTCCACGTCGGAGCGGTCCCCTGGGCCGGCAGCGGTTTCCGAATGGAGATCTTCGGCCGGGAAGGCACGCTGATCACCACCGGCAGCGTCTCATCCCAACGCGGCGAAATGCTGCGTGTGCAGGGCGCACAGGGGACCCACGAGTTGCAGGACTTGACCCTGCCCCAGCGCTTCGTGTACGTCCCGGATGACTTCCCCAAGGGCGACCCGTTCAACGTCGGCCAGTTGTACACCCTGTTCGCCGAGGCGATCCGGACCGGGCAGAACCGCCTGCCGACATTCGATACCGCGGTTGACCTCCACCGCTTCCTCGACACCATCAAGCAGGCGTCTGAAACGGGCCAGGAACTGCCTGTCGCCTGACGCGGCGCCCGGCCCGCGTTGACCCGCTCGCCCCGGAACCGTATCCTTCGGTAAAGAAACCATCTGATCCGACCATTTGACCTCGTCAGAACCCATCCTCTGGGCCGACAGTCTGACCTTCCGACGCCCGTAGGCGTTTAGCCTTTCCATACAGCATTGTTCGCGGGGCAATTACCCATACGCGGTCAAGCGTCCCGACATATCGCTCACCTGGAATATTACGCAAGCCGGATAGCATGTGCCGCCTCGTGCCGCTCGCTTGGCCAACCGTAAGTATTTCAACGGCGCCGGCCGGCGCCCTTTCCCCAATGAGGGCTGATCTCGCCCTCGGGTCCGATTTACCGGAAGCAAATTAACGGCTCCCATGGGAGCCCGCAGCGCAACTGGATTTCCGTCAATCGCAGTCTCTCTCTTGGTACCCGACAAACAAAGTCGGCCGCAGCGGGTCGCAGCCGCTCCGGCCAGTGTCATACCACCCTGGATAAGGAGGAAGACATGAGAGATCTTATCGGAACGGCCCCGTTGACAGCAATCATCATTGGAGACCAGTTAATGGATTTAACGTAGCCTTTGAAGTGACTGAATAACCGAACTGCCAAATGCGGTAATTGGAGCAGGTCGATGCGCCGTCCAATCACAATAACGCTGGCGGTTTTCGCTGGTCTTATGGTCGCGTTCACAGCCTACGTCTGGGTCGGTAATTGGTTCACCACGCGGACTGCCGCCGGGGGCTCGGTGTTCGGAAGCGGGTCCTGCCTGTGCAACGGCGAGAGCTTTAGCTACGTCGTCCACGTTGCGCTCGGCGTGGTCCAAAATCCAGCCAACCGCGGCGCGCGAGTGGAGATGACTACCGAAACCCTGAAGGTCCGGAAGTCGCCGCCCGTTACCGAAGCTGCCGACATCAGCGCCGGAACCCCCGGGTGCGTGATCCGCAAGTCGGACTGGCCGGGCGTCGCCGAATTCAGAGTGGATAGCCCTCTCGAGGGGAGTGCTCTCACGCCCCTCGGCCAGACCTTGCTGATCCGAGATTACGACACCGACTACTGGAAAATCTCGGCGTCCCGGGGCCTCTTCCCCATGGACGTGCGCTGGAAATAGACCCTCCAACGCCGTCGTCTTGCAAGCCGGTACTTTTCTTACAACCCGTGCACCAGGCAACCGTAGGCCACACCGGTGGCGCCCCGCCAAATTTGCCGCCAGCCGGCCTTAATCTTTCGGGCAGGCCACGGGGCGGAGCCGTGTGATTAAAACAATATCCCCGCCGGCCGGAGACGGTCGGCGGGGTTAATCAAATGCCGGCCTATCGGTCAGCGCGGAGATAATAACGTCTCAACGCTTGGATCACAAGTCATGATGCCAAGGTAGACGTTCTTGGGGTTTGGCAAGCGAGCCAGGGACCGATGATTTGCGCACATTGGCTATATGTTCGTGTCAATATAACCGTGTCCACTGATTGGGTTCAGGCACATTGCAAGCGTAATCCATCCGAAAACCTGTAAACGATGTCCACTCGTGTCGTTCACCCCTCAGATTCCCAGCAGCGCTTCGAGGTTCTTCCAGGAAACCTTCTCTTTCTCCTCCCGGGACAGGCTTTCCAGGCCCTCCAGCCACGCGCCGGGTGAGGGGTCCCAACCCACGAAGGGCCAGTCGCTGCCGATGACAACCCGGTCCGCTCCGACGCTGTCAATGAGGAACCGCAGGCCGGCCTCGCTGCTGGTCAGGAAGTCGTAGTAGATCTGCTTCTGGTACGCGCTGGGCGGCTTCAGGATGTTGACGCGGGCTTCCGACCGCACCTGCCACCCGTGGTCCAGCCGTCCCATGCCGAAGCAGGCCCCGCCGCCGCCGTGGGCGATGCAGACCCGGAGGTTGGGGCACTCGTCCAGGATGCCGCCACAGATCAGGGTTGCCACTACCAGCGCGTCTTCCATTACCACGCCCACGCTGTTGGGCAGGCCGTACTTCAGCGTCCGCTCCACCGCGACGATGTTGTCCTGGGGCTGCGGATGGAAGAACAGCAGGGCGTCGAGTTCCTCGGCGGCCTTGAACAGCGGCAGGAAATGGGGCTCGTCCCAGTTCTGGCCGTTGACCACCATGTCGAGCTCCGCCCCCTTGAGCCCGAGGACCTTCACGGCCCTTTCCAGCTCGGCAATTGCGGCGTCGACGTCCTGCGCCGGCAGCGTGGCCAGGCCGGCGAAGCGGTCGGGCCACTTCCGCGTCATGCCGGCGATCTCGTCATTGACCTCCTGCGACGCCCTGACCGCCGCCGCGGTCTCCCAGTGGTACGGGAACAGCGGGGTGTGGATGGACACCACCTGCACGTCCGTCCCTTCGGCGTCCATGTCCGCAAGCCGTTCCTCCGGCGTGTACCGGATCTTCGGCGAGTTGATCAGGATGCGCTTGCCGTGGCCCACGATGAACTCGTGGTCGCCCTGGACCTCGTGCCACATTCCGTGCCAGTCTTCGCCGTTTTCAAAGGCCCGCCACAGGATCTGCGGGGCCAGGTGGGTGTGAACGTCGATGTGTCTCACGAGTTATCCTCCGCAACACGGGTCTGGGGAGCGCGGGCCTGAAAGTGTGCAGTAGTCAGATGCCCAGCAGCGTTTCGAGGTTCTTCCACAGGATGGCGGCCTTCTCGTCCTGGGTCAGGCTTTCCATGGCCAATATCCATGAGACGGGCCAGTCCTGCGCCATGTCGTAGGGCCAGTCCGTGCCGAAAACCACCCGGTCGATGCCCACGGAGTCGATCAGGAACCGCAGGGACTGCTCCGTGTACACGATGCAGTCGTAGTAGAACCGGCTCAGATATTGGCTGGGTGGCAGTGCTGCCAGCCGGTCTGATGCCGGTATGCGCTCCCACCCCCGATCCATGCGGCCCGCGCCATAGCAGGCGTACCCGCCGCCGTGGGACAGGCAGACCCGCAGGTCGGGGCAGGCGTCCATCACGCCGCCCATCACCAGCGACGCGAAGGTCAGCGTCCGGTCGGCCAGGTTGCCCACCGAGTTCGGCAGGTGGTACCGCTTGATGCGCGCGTCGACGATGGTGTCGCCGGACTGGTGGAACAGGATCACCGCGCCCAACTGCTCGGCGGCCTTCCAGAAGGGCATGAACTCCGGTTCGTCCAGCAGCTTGCCGTTGATCTTGTCGTCGATCATGGCGCCCTTGAACCCGAGGTTTACCATCACCCGCTCCAGCTCTGCTATGGCCGCGGGCACGTCCTGCATGGGCAGGGTGGCCAATCCAGAGAACCGGTCGGGCCAGGACCGCATCATCTGGCTGATCTCGTCGTTGCACTCCCGCGACGTCGCGATGGTCACGTCAGGGTCCATGTCGTAGTTGTAGAAGCCACCGAAGGGCGAGACCACGTGCACGTCCACGCCCAGGGAGTCCATGTCCGCCAGCCGCTGCTCCGGTGTCCAGCTGGCCTTGGGCGGAAGCTGCCCCCGACCGGTTCCCGACACCAGGATGGGGCGTCCATTGGCGTCCTGTTCCCGCCGTAGCGTGTGCCAGTCGCCGCCGTCCTCGGTGGCGCGCCAGAAGCACTGCGGCGTCAGGTGGGCGTGAATGTCGATGCTGCGCATGTTTGTCTCCTGCCGAACGTAAACAGGTACATCTGATTGTTAGGCCCGCCGTTCGTTTCCTGAAATGATTTGCTACACTGTTAGCACATCCAATAGAGGAGACTTAAAGATGCGTGTCTACTTAGCAAATATAGGGGCGAATTCGAACCATCGGGGACTATTCTCTCCGCTCTTTCCCGATGGAAGGTTCGAGCTTTTGCCGATTCCTGAAGGCGTATCGGGATTAAATGGGGCATCTCATGCCGTTCACTACCGACAATTGAGGTCATATTACCACCCTGAGTGTGACCTGGGCCCATATGTTCCCGGAAACCTATGGAATACCGTCTGCCACCACGACCCTGAGTTCGAGACGTACACCTATGGGGACAACGGTACCAACGGGCGCTCCAGTGCGCTAACCCAGATGCAAAGCGGCGATACTCTACTATTCTTGGCCCGACTGGAGGGCTGGGATGCCGGGCGACGAACCGGAGAGAACGGGTTCTATCTGATTGGCGGTTTGCTGGCAGATTATGCTGACTGGATAACTCGGGGATATTCCCGGCGTGACCGATTCGCCAGGAATGCTCATGTAATCAGAGGCGACGGCAGATTCTGGGGTATCGCTGGTTCAAACCAATCACGCCGGTTTGAACGTGCCGTGCCGATTACCAGAGAGATCTGCGAGCAGGCTTTTAGAGCGGCTACCGGCAGACCATGGGATTGGAGCAAAAACACGGAAACGGGAACGATCAGCTCTTACACCCGTGCCTGCCGTTGCGTACTGGACACTAACGACACTGGGCAGCGCCGGCGGGCTGTGACGTTGCGCGAATGGATAGAACAGCACACCGGGTCCTTTGACGCTAAAATGCTCGCCGCCGCGTGGTAATCTGAGTGAGAAGAAAGCGATGAAACTCTATTCTTACGTCATGACTGTTGACGATGGGTTCGCTCCGAATCCGACAGGCGGCATTTGCACGTTGGCTTATTGCATGAGGAGAATGCGCAGGACTGTTCAGGTCGGTGATTACGTTATCGGTCTGGCCGGCAACAAGTATCGGAAAAGGCGCGGAGTGGAGTGGCCGGCCTATCCCATAATTTATGCCATGCGGGTTACCGACGTGATCGGCTTCGATGAATTCAGCCGGCGCAATCCCGAACACTTCAATCCTCACCCAGACACGCGTTGGCAAGTCGCCACGGACAGAGTGCTGATCGGTGAGGATTTTATTTATTGGGGCGGCGGCGGTCCTCTTCTACCCAGGGAATTCAGTGTCCTTATTAAGCCAAAAGGGCCTGGACACCTGTGCAACTTCCCTCAGTGTGTTGTGCGGGCATTTATCCGTTGGTTTCGGGGCCAATCAGTTCGGGGATGCCAAGGGACACCTTTTGAAGGCTGGTACAATCATCACACTTATCATCGCCGTCACTAACTTGCGTGTACCTGTCCCCAGGTTCAGCGCCGCGGATGCCGCGCCAAATAGTCGTCGGCGATCTCCTCAAGGGTCACGAACCGGACGCCGTCGTGGGAACCGATGTATTCGGCGATGCGCTCCAGCATCAGCAGCACCTGCGGGCGGCCGCTGACGTCCGGATGTATCGTGATCGGGAACACCGCCTCGTCATACTCCCGGTACACCCAGTCGAACTGGTCCCGCCACATCTGCTCGATGTCCCTGGGATTCACGAACCCGTGGCTGTTGGGCGACTTCTTGATGAACATCATCGGGGGCAGGTCGTCCAGGTACCAGTTGGCCGGTATCTCGACGAGATCGGTCTCCTCTCCCCGTTCCAGGGCGTGCATCCAGACGTCGGCCGGCATGGCGTAGTCGATCTTGGTCCACCGGTCGCCGACCCGGACGTAGTAGCACTCGAAGTCCCGGTGCATCAGGCTGTGGTCGTACTTGATCCCGTGCTTGAGCAACAGCTCATTGGTCACGTGACTGAACTCCCACCACGGAGCGACGTAGCCGCGCGGCCGCTTTCCCGAGACCTCGGTGATCAGGTCAATGCAACGCAGCAGCACCGCCTCCTCCTGCTCCGGGGACATCGAGATCGGGTTCTCGTGCGAGTACCCGTGCATGCCCACCTCGTGCCCCTGTTCAACGATCATGCGGCACTCCTCCGGGAAGGTCTCGATGGAGTGGCCCGGGATGAACCAGCTGGTCTTGATCCCCAGCCGGTCGAAGAGCTTCAGCAGGCGCGGCGTGCCCACCTCGCCGGCGAACAGGCCCCTGGATATGTCGTCGGGCGAGTCTTCCCCGCCGTAGGATCCCAACCACCCACCAACGGCGTCCAGGTCGACGCCAAAGGCGCACAGGATTTGCTTATCGGCCATGGAAATCATCTCCTCGGCGGTGCCCCCTTCCGGGACGGGGCGATGGAACAGGCTGTTTCGGTCGGGCGTATAGTACCCCATACCCGGAGTCCCTATCCAAATATCGGGATCGCTCATCCAAGGAAATCGGGGGCGACCATTGGCCACCCCCGATGCATTAGATCGGCCGGGATGCGCTGGACCGGGAGAATGCCCGCTAATCTCCGGCTGGGTTGGCGCTCTCCTGCGTGACCGGAGCCGCCGGCTCGGACATCTGGGGCGGCGGCGGAGCCGGCCGGCGCGCAGCCGGCGACGGAGGGCGGCTGGACTCGGCCTCGGCGGCCAGCTTGGCCATGATGAGCGTGGTCAGCTCGCCCCGCATGGCGTCGGCCGCCAGGTTGCATCCCGCGAAGACCTCGAACCCCGGCGACAGCTCGTCAATCATCCGGCGGACGCGCGTGCTGCCGTGCCGGGAAGCCACCAGCATCCGGATGGACTGGGCGTCACGCTGGATGGGCGCGTCCTCGTCCTCTTCGTGCTCCTCCATGGCCCGGTCCAGCTCGTCCTCGTAGTCCATGCGGTCAACCACGCTCAGGGCGGCGGTGGCCTCCCGGCGGAAGGTGTCCACCTCGCGCAGCGCCCGCGCCATCTGGCTGACCAGGTTGGCGGCGCCGGCGATCAGGTCGGGTAGCTCCCGTTGGGCTTCCGCGGCGGCCGATAGCGCGTACCGGGCGTTTTCTATGGCATCCTTGCGATGGGTCTCCCGCTCTTCGACTCGCTGCAGCAGGCTCACCTGTTCCCGCAGCGTGGGCGCCTCGGATGCCAGCGTCTCCAGGCGTTCCATGTAACTGGCGGCTTCTTCAGCTTTCCGCAGCCGCTGGGCCAATTCGTTTGCGCGTTCATCTGGCATGGTTGGTTCCTACCTCTACCGACGGGCCCGGAATGTCGAGCCGGTGTTATTAGAAACGGCCCGGGGCGGCAGCGAGTTGTGTTAAGCAACAGGCGAGAGGCTGCCGTTCCCGGTAACAACTCCCTTATAGCAAAGGGCAACCCCACAGCGAGGCGGAAAATGCTGACGAGTTTGCGCGATTTTTCAAAAACAGTCCCATGATCCCAACGTCTGATCCCAACGTCGATACCGGCAGGCCATCGCGTCCACGACCCAATGGCGGTCGCACACCGTTTTCAGCGCCCTGATACGATTGCCGAGATCGCCGGCCGGCACTCGCGCTACGGATGCGTATGTACGGGGCGCGAGGCAGAATCAGCCGATCTTCCCATGTCATTGCCGGCCACTCGAAAATTAGCGCGGGCGGTCCGAAAGTCATGGCGAGCGACCCGAGAGTCATGGCGAGCGACCGGCTGTCATTGCGAGCGCAGCGTGGCAATCTCGTTGCCGTAGCGCTGACCGTTGCCGAATGCGGTTGCATTGCCCCGTAACTGCCGCGTCGGGTCATTCCCGGCGATAACAATCGAATCGCCCCGGCGCATCCGTTTCAGGGGTTGACAAGTATCGCCAAACAGTATACTTTGTATTCAAGGTGCCGGGGTTGGTATTGGAAACCCCGCCCACTGCAGCCCGACGGAAATACCGTCGTCATCACAGGAGGTAGAAAGTGGTTTCTCTGATCACGAGGCACCACAAGTGGCATTTCCCGTGTCCGGTCCCTGTCGGTGGCGTAGCGGCAACTCGATAGTCGCAGTGGCCGACGGGGACGAGAGATAGGGTCGAGGGCATTGTGGCCCCCGGCGCGCGAAGGCCAGGATCGGCAACGGTCCTGGCCTCGTTGTTGTGGTCTCGAACAGCCGGTTTGAGCCCGGTCATTCGCCGGCCGATTCCCGGCGCGGCTTCCCTGGCGAACCGCGACTCCCTTCCGCCTGTCGATACTGAAGCCCGGCGTGGATTGCACTGCGCCAGGCTTCACGTGGCGTTAGCGCAGGGTCAACCCACAGCAACGGATAGCGCTTTCGGTCGTGATGCCGCAGGAATGCAGGTCGGCGGTGGTGATCGAGGTGAATCGAACATTCTCGGGAGGCACGGTTTCGCCGGCGTCGCCGTGCCCCAGCATTCGACAGTGCCGTCAGGCCGCAGGGCACAGCTATGCGCTTCGCCCACAGTGACCTGGGTGAATACGCCGTCGGGCGGGCCGGTTTGCACGGACCAGCGTGCTCCCCAACAACGGATCGCGCCGTCAGCCACTATGCCGCAGGAATGATGTCTTCCGGCGGCGATTGAGCTATATTCGTAGCAGACCACCGTACCGTCATTCAGCAGACCACACCGGTGGAAGCCGTTGGCGGAGAGCGACCGCGATCCTGGGACCAGCATCGCCTCCTCGCCGAAGTCGCCGTCCCTCACGATGGTTGGCCCGTCAAATGTGCCGTCCTCGCGGTAAATGTGGATACACATAACGTCGTCTTCAATCCAGTGGTTGCGCAGGTGATAGTACCCGTTGCTGGAACCGGTCATGATGACCCCGTCCATTTCCCGGATCATCTCTCCGGAGGCGACGAACTCCGCCATCTCGTCGGTGTAGTCGGTGGGGTGAAGCCGCACACATGGTCGTCGGCGAACAACGGCGCGTCTCCCCAGTAACTGCCGAACGCCCCCACCGCGAACGCGGCCAGCGCAACCATCTACATCCCGAGTCTGCCGACAGAAAAGAGCCCAGCCCGAGCGGGCTCTGGGGCCGTCAGGAGCGCCCGCCCGCCTGATTTTATATCACCTTGTTAATTGCTGCGCCGCTCGAGGGACAGGGGCATGCCTCCCTTGGGACGCAACGATATCAGCAGGTGCAGCTTCACCGTGTGCCGCGGGTCGTGGCGCACCGACCACCGCTGGCCCAGGGTTGCCAGCACCAGCAGGGCTTCCATCCACGCGAAGCCCTCCCCGATGCACAGGCGTGGCCCGCCGCCGAAGGGGTAGTACGCGAACCGGTGCCGGCCGGCGCGAAACTCCGGCGTCCAGCGGTCGGGCCTGAATTCCAGCGGATCCTCGAACCAGCGGGGATCGCGGTGGACGATCAGTTGCGGCGCGGACAGGGCGGCGCCGGCCGGTATGTGCCAGCCGCCCAGCGTGATGGGCTGGTAGGTCATGCGGCCGGTTGTCCAGATGGGCGGATACAGTCGCATGGACTCGGTGAGGACGCGCTCGGTGAAGGGCAGGTTGGCGAGGTCGTCGGGGGTCGGATCGCGGCGGCCCAGCACGTCGTCCAGCTCGGCGTGGAAGCGGGCCTGCACATCCGGATGGGTCGCCAGCAGGTACCAGGTCCAGGTCAGAGCGACGGCGGTGGTCTCGTGGCCGGCCGCGAACAGGGTGATGACCTCGTCGCGAAGCTGGACGTCGGTCATCACTGCGTCCTCAGGGGTTGGCCGCCTCCTCGTCCCGCGCGTTGAGGAGCAATGACAGCAGGTCGTCGCCCTTCCAGGCCGGAATGCCGCCGTTGGGCAATGAGGCCGTAGACGGTCTCGTCCAGGTATGCCAGCCCGCTCCGGAACCGAAGGGTGGACGGGAAAGGCAGGCGATGCAATGCCCGGCGGAGAGACAGCGGGCGGTTGCTTTGAGAGGTGACGTATTCGTTGCCCACCTCGAAGGCCTGTCCGATGCGGCGCACGGTGTCGGGGAGTTCCAGGCCGAACAGGGTCTTGACCACGATGTGCAGGGTGAGCTCGCTCATCTCGCGGGCCATGTCAGACGCCGGCGCCGGCCTGCCACCGGCGTTCGTGGCGGCGGGCGAAGTCGGTCATGATCTCAGCGTAGCCCGCGATGCGACGGTGGTGGAACTGGGGTTGCATCAAGCGACGCTGGCGCAGGTGCAGTGGGCCGTCGGCGGTCACCAAACCGTTGCCGAGGAGGTAGCGCATGGATGAGGTGAGCCAGCCCCGCCCCACGCTCCGATGGTTGGTGACGAAGAGCTCTTCGACCAGGTCGGGGTGGCTAACCAGGTACGCCAGGGCCGGTTTAGTGGAAATGGTGACCAGGTCGCCGTAGCCGGCGGCCTCCTGCATGAGGCCGATGATGTCGGACATGTAGCGGAATGACTGGCCCACGATGGGCCATTCGGGCGGACCAGGAGGCAGGGAGGCACGGTCGATGACCGGGCGGGGTGGGTATGCCAGGGTAGGGGTAGGCGGAGTCATGGTCGGCTCCTGCGCGCAGGCACTTTCATTCTGCCATTGCGAGGCCAAGGGGACAATCGCGTTGCCGGCCGGCTCCAGGCAGCACATTTGCCGCGAGAGTGGGCCGACCGGCTGCGCGGCCGACGACGATGGCGGGCCGTGCTGCGAACCCAGCGCAACAGGAAAACCGTCCTGTCCTCAGCGCGTTATCCAATCCCGACAGTGCCATGGGTCGGGATTCGCAACGCGCTCGCTCGGGGCGGGAGGTTCAGGCGGAGACGGCTCGCCGGCGCAGGAACGTCTCCGCCAGCGCGGTCACGATGGTAGCCAGAGACACCGCGCCGATGGTGAACGGGGCCGTCATCATGGCCGTCAGCACCCACGCCTCGGGATACACGCCGGCGATGACCAGGTTCGAGATTCGGACGACGGCAACGAACGCGGCGATCGCTGCCAGGAATGCGACGCCGCCGATCGCCACCCGTAGTGTCCAACGATAACTGTTCATCATTCCTCCTGTTCAGTGAGGCAAACGTCGGGGTATGCCCGTCGGGCGGCGAGTATAGCAGCCGCCTGATCCGTTATACGCTACGCGGACAAGCGCGGATTTGGGGCGTTTGCCTTAGCGTGAAGTGCTACGCACGCCCTGATGGAAATCGGTGGTCAGTGCGGGGTTCTCAGTACGGGGTTCAAGGAGCGTCAACAAATGTTTGTGCGGGGCAAGCGGAACACATCCGGAAGAGATTGCATCGTGCGCTTTGGGACCCGGGGCAACTCCGGGGCAAATCGTTTGAGGCACGGGATGGCGGGCGAAGTGACGCGGGATGGCGGACTTCCGTTCAAAGTATGTCATCGCATGTTGCTCCATCCAGCTGATCGTTCCGGTGAACGTAGGAACGTATGACAAACCCCGCGAAAAAGCACTTAATTGCTATTGCGGTCCGCCATTCCGTGGGGTCTGTACGTGCAGACGAGAAACGATACCATCAGGCCAATGCCGGCCCGGTAAATGCAAGCAACAATGCTTACAGTATGCGATAAAATTGCCCAAGGAATTACACCCTTGAAACCACTTCAAGACCGCGACCTTTATGCACTTCATGGTCAATGTGAAACACGCCTTCCGGTTGGCGGAACCCTACAATGCTGCCGAACCTTCGAGGCCGCGCTGCATAAAAACGTCGTCGCTCTGGCTGACGTGCCTCCCACCGTCTCCTTGCCAGACGGGCGGCCGGCCCCTATTCTCGGACCACCCATGACATCTCGCGACCGCTCACCGTTCATCGGAGGCAAGTCATGTCCACAAACCAATACTTTCACTTCGTGCCCGATTTCTTCCTCGACCGGGCGCGCGAACACCTCAGCCAACACGACACGTACCAAGCGCGACAAGACCTCTGGGGGGCATGCGAATACATCGTGAAAGCGCTGTCCGAATTTCACGGATTGCCCCACCACACTCTTCTCATGCTCAGCGACAACGTCGCCATATTCGCTCGGGACGCCCAACAACCCCGGATAATCGACCTGTTCAACAAAATTCAAACCCTAGGCGAACCGTCATTCCACACCCACCACCACCCCAACATTGCTTCTGACGAGCTCGACCTCGTATCCGACTTCGTCCAGCTTTTGGTGGAGCTTGCTGAGCAGAGTTCCGTCGCGCCATCTGATGCTACCTCTTCTACCCGTCAACTCCCTGACGATCTCACCGATTCCCAGAAAGCCCGCATCGCAGCCATCACCCGCCATGATCTCACGCATTACTTGACAGCGGACCCGGACGTATCCATCGAAGATGTCATCGTCGAATTACGCGTATCCGTCGGCGGCGAACCCTACACCGACATCAACGTGCTCTACAAGAGCCCTACGTATACGCTTGACCCGGGCGTGCTCAACTCATTCGCCGCCCGCGATGTCGATCACCTCCATCAAGCAGGAGGAGTCGGTTTCATATCCCATTCATTTTCTGACGCTGACGAATACCGCCAGGTCGCCCAACTCATCGCCCAAGGCACCCTCCCAAGGTTGGTCCAATGATATGCTGCGACCTCATCGCCGTCTGCAGGACCCTCACCGATGCCGCAGTGCACCACCCCACCGGTTCGCCCCAACATCAGGCACATTTGAGGCGTGCGGCAAGCTCAGTGTACTACGCCCTTTTCCATAGCCTCTTGCAAAACAACGCTGATATGCTTCTTGGGGCTTCAGCCGGTGTCCCTCCCTCCACGGAATGGACCACAGTCTACCGGACCCTCAGTCACGACCGCGCTCAAAGCAAAATGCGGCAAGCCATAACGATGAAGTTCCCGCATGCAATCACCAATCTCCAAGCTTTGCTGGAGACTCTTTACCTCAACCGACTAAGCGCCGACTACGACCCGTCCTCCACTTTCACCTTGGCGACAATCTCCAATCATATCGAACAGGCGGACGCGGCTATCATCGATTTTCTCTCTGCTCCCGAAGCCCAACGACGACTCTTGGCGGTCCACTTGTTATTCAACCCACGTTGACTAGGTCGACCGCCGTCCGGTCAGCTTCGACCGCGATTGCGTCCTACGGGTCTCCAGCCTGCCTTCCATGACCGAGAATATACTAAACTCTGCCATTTTTCGCTCCCTGGGCTGGTCCAGGGCGCGTCCGTAAGCACGGCGCTGGGTCGGGTCGGCGGCAAAATGGCAGAGTTGCTAATGAAGTCTGCCACCGCGAAATGGGCAATACGGAGGCGATGTCGCGGGCGCCATGTGAACCGGAATTGCCGCTGGGCATGGGATCGACCTCAGGGGGTCTGTAGCCGGCCGATCTGCGGGGCGGCAACCTGACGGGTTATTGGGCGACACGGATGATGTGGTACATGTGGCGGGAGAGCTGGCAGGCGCCTTTCAGGCGGGGTATCCAGGCGGTGTCGGCGTCGGGTATCACCTGGCGGAAGATGTCGGTTTCGGTGTAGTACACCCGCAGGTCGGGGCGCTCCTGCCTGAGGGCGGCGACCAGGCGTCGGGATTCGCCGACCGGTTTCACCCCATCGCCGCGGTCGTGCATGATCCGCGACGCCGTGGCCCAGCGTGGCACGCCGGTGAATTTCGAATGGGCTTGCCCGGTGCAGCCAGCAGCGAGGCTTGCCACACCCCACGCTGACCGTTTACCATCCACGCACCACAATGGTAACGGTTTGCTAACTGACCGCGTGAGGTGCACCATGGCCATCAGTAACGATGCTGAACTGCGCGAGGTCTATCGGCCGCCGGCGCCGAGGGCGGCGCAGAAGGTGCTGGACCGCCTCGACGTGCACTGCCGCGACTTCATCGCCCTGTCGCCGTTCTGTGTGCTGAGCTCCAGCAACTCCGATGGTCAGTCCGACGCCTCGCCCCGGGGCGACCCGCCGGGCTTCGTCAAGGTGCTGGACGACCGGACTCTGCTGCTCCCCGACCGGCCCGGCAACAACCAGGTGGACTCGCTGCAGAACATCGTGGATAACCCGGGCGTCGGCCTGCTGTTCTTCATCCCCGGCATGAACGAAACCCTGCGCGTGAAGGGCAGGGCGGAGATCACCACCGACCCCGCGCTGCTGGACCCGCTGAAGGTGGCCGGCAAGGCTCCTCTCTCCGGGCTCAAGGTCTCGGTGGAAGAGGCCTTCCTGCACTGCGGCCGCGCCCTGATCCGGAGCCGTATCTGGGACGCCGAAGCCCAGATCGACCGTTCCTCCTATCCGACCTACGGGCAGGTCCTCGCCGACCAGATCGCCGGCGCCGACGCTCGCGAGATCGACGCCGACGAAGACGAGGCCAACCGCGCGCGGCTTTACTGACCCTCGGCGCTGACTCCCGGCCGCAAGCGCCGAGGTTTACGCCCGGGCCGGCCGCCGCATTGCCGGCGCGGTATCCGCCCGGAAGCGCCGCTTGCCGGAAGCGTCGCCTATTCGATGGCCACTTGCCGCCCGCTGTCCGACGCTGCCTGGATCCCGTCGATGAAGTGGTGCAGCCGTACCGCTTCGTCAAAATCGGGCTGGCAATCGGATCCGGTGCGGATCGCTTCCCCGAACTGGTAGTACATCTGCCCCACGTTGTACGGAGCGCCGTGGGGCATCCCCTCCAGCACGAAGGTGTACTTGGCGGGGATCACCAGGTCTTCCAGCTGGTCGCTGCCCTGCGCCCCCTGCAGCCGCACGCCCTCGTGATTTGGCGTTTCGTCCGACGTGGCCACCAGTGTCCCGTCCCGTCCATGGATCTCCATCAGGTAGCCGCTGTCCAACCACGGGTTGCTGGCGACATGGGCGGACGCGACCGCTCCGTTCGCCAGCCGGCCGCTGACCAGCACGTTGTCCGGTGATGTCACGTCCACCATCTGGTTGGTGTCCGTCTCGAACCATTGGTTGGCCTGCGTGCTGACCACCGTGGACACATGGCTGAAATCGCCGACCACCATTCGGAGCGCGTCAATCGTATGGCCGAAGGAGATGGTCAGCGTGTTGGCGCCCAGCTCCCGGTCCCGCTGCCATGTCCGGTCGGACTGCCGCGTCAGCGAGCCGCCGGTGATGCGGCGGACGTGGCAGGACAGCACTTCCCCCACGTAGCCCGAGGCGACCAGGTCCCTCAGATGCAACAACGGGGCGTTGGCCCGCGCCTGTAGCCCGACCATGTTGCGCACCCCCTTGGCCCGGGCAAGATCGGCCATCTCCTGGGCTTCCGCCGTGGTGCGGCCCAGCGGCCATTCGACATAGACGTGCTTGCCAGCGTTGATGGCCGCCACGGTGGGCTCATAGTGGTTCGGTACCCGCAGGCTCACGGCCACGGCGTCGATGTCGGGGTGCGCCAGCATGGTGTGGTAGTCGTCAAAGGCCAGCCGGGCCCCGAACTTCTCGCGCGACTCCTCGGCGCTCTCCATGCGCGTGGTGCAGACGGCGGTCAGTTCGAACTCGGGACTCGCCACCACGGCGGGCAGGTGTGAACGCACCGCCCATCCCCGGTGGATGTTCGCGCCGATGATGCCCAGCCGGATCTTGTCTGCCATGATGGTACTCCTGCCGCGTATTTTCGGGCATCGTACCATAGCCGCTCCACCGTCCCGTCCGGGACCGGTGGGGTCAGGGTCTTTGAATTATGAAAAACCCAGCTTCGTCATTCCCGCGGCCGCGGGAATCCAGCCATCCTTCGCAGCCGTGGTCGGCATGAGGCCAAGCCTCCGGTGCCGGCGACAATCCGTCAGCGGCGAAAAACCTGACGGCCCTGCAGGAAACCCGCTCCCCAGGCGTCGTTGCCCGCGGGGAGATCTCCCAAATTGGGGATACTGTTACCGCCAATCGGTCCGTGCTACCGATAAACTTGAACCCGACACGTCACAGGAGGCAAGACCAAAATGGCCCAAATCGAAGCAAAGCTCATCGAGATGAACTGCGAACTGCCACCCCCGCCCGATCCCGTGGGCAACTACCTGCCGCTCACCCGCAGCGGCAACGTCATGTGGCTCGCCGGAGTCGGCTCGCGCCTCGCCACCGGAGAGGGAATTGCCGGCAAGCTGGGCGACGACCTGACCGTGGAGCAGGGCTACGAGGCGGCGCGGTGGGCCGCCCTGAACCTGCTGTCCCGGATGAAGGCCGAACTGGGCGACCTCGACCGGGTTACCCGCATCCTCAAGGTGGTGGGCATGGTCAACAGCGCCCCGACCTTCACCGGGCAGGCCCGGGTGGTCGACGGCGCCTCCGACCTCTTCGTGGCCCTGTACGGCGACCGCGGACGCCACGCCCGCTCTGCCCCAGGCATGGCCGCCCTCCCCGGCAACACCGCCGTAATCTGCGACTGCGTCATCGAGGTGGACGGCGGTTAGCTCGGACGATCTGGGGCCCTCCCGTACTTGGACCGCGTATTGCTCGACCCCAACGATCCCGGACAGCTGCAACCTGGTTCGACATCAGTCATCCTATCCGTTACGTGCAGCCCAGACGTCGTCGGAAGCGTGCTACCGGACAACGGTCGGTGTCTTTTGGTGACCCCGTCTGATAACATGGGCCATAGCCACAAAGGAGCCAGACGTGACCACCACCTCTACTCAGGATCGCGTTGCGGAGATTTTCACCGATGCCCGACAGGTCCAATCCCAGGCCATCGAGCGCCTTGATGTGGGCGACATCCGGGACGCGGCTGAGAAGTCTTGGTGCGCCACCAAGCGCGCCACCGACGCCCTCATTCTCTCCCGTACCGGCGAGGAACCACCTACGACAGCGGCCACCACCGATCTCCTCGACGACCTTTGCCGCGTGACGTCGCAGATTGAAGTCCTCCAAGGCCGCTACTACAGCCGCATATACCATCTGCACGGTATGTGCTTCTACTCCGGCTATTGCAACACCCAGACCGAGCGTCGCATCAGGGAAACTGTCGCCTACATCGACGACGCCGAGAACTTGGCAGCAGCTTAAACGTTCAAGCTGACGGTCAGCAGCCCCGTTGATCCTCACATGCGTGGTGCGCAAACCCGGTAAGAACATTGCGAGCCGCCATGAGCATGCGCGGGGTTCTTACCGGAACACCGCCGTTATCCGCGACTGCGTGATAGAAGTGGACGGCGGCTAGCCCTGGCGGCGGTGGGTTCTTGCGGTCGCGGGTATCCCTACTGCTGCACGGGTCAGGGCGGTCACGTACCGGACCGGTGGTATAGTTCCTCTTTGGTCCGAGAGTGCCGGCGGGGATCGTTTTGCAGCGGGGCTACGGGGCCTGCTGTGCAACGATGAACCAACGCGGGCACTCGTAACCTTCTCAGGCCAACGCAGTTCTTCATTAGCCAGTCTCGCGTCTAATAGTGGCCACGACTTCTCCGAATGTTTCTTTGATGTTCCCTTTGGAAAACCTAATCTGTTGGATACCTGCCATGTTTGTAAAAAGTTCAGTCCCCTCCTCAACTAACGCTATTCCCCGCGGAAACCCCAGCTTGCCCTGAAAGAGGCCCAGTTCATGCACTACATTTTGCCGGGCCCGAATATTGTCGTCAGCCGTCTCGTCTTCGCCGGTCATAACCAAAAACGCCATTGAACTACTGGTGAGCATCGATTCGAGCACGTCTCGGACTGCATGCCCAGCCCTGGCTCCCACTTTCGTAGGCTTCGACGTCGAAACCATGCAGATCACGCAGGTGATCGTGGAGTTCCCGCCAAAGTAGACTTCGACCGTGACCAATAAATATCTTGCCGCCTGCTTGAACTGGCTCGTCTGGTAGCTTGGATGATTGAACGGATTGTTCGAATACGCGGGACACGCGTTCAATTTCGGCCCTAGTAGGAGCTTCCACGTGAACTGCCGAATCTCTGCGATTGCCCTGCCCATATACGAACAACCACAACCTCATGTTCGAGTTGTTCTGGGCCGCAACTGAGAAACCCACTCCGCTCGTACCTCTCCGGTAATCTGCCCAAAATTCCTCGATTTCATCATGCTCCCAACTTGACCCGTCGACTTCCACTCTCAGGGGCGCATACCTTAATCCGCCACCCCCTGATAATCGGTCTATCAGTCCAACGGCCTCTTGCAAGATTTCTGCGGCAAAGAAGGTTGACCCGTACCTTTTAATTTTTTCCATCCCCAAACCTGCCTGGAAAAGTGTTGCGGCCCAAGCTCTTCTCGCCCTGGAAACATAGTTGATCATATAGGAACCAAACAAACCTTCCAATGCCCGTCATTCTGAGCAGTATGAATCAGCCTGAGCACCCCATTTGCGGCCGAATGATACCGATTTTGTTTCATATAATATCCGTTTTGTGAACCGGTGATTAGGACGACCGTCGGCGACCGGACCGATCACGATCCTCGACGCCTAGAATATCGCAGGCTCGACTGCGACAACGTTGTTTGAACATCACCGTCATCAATCCCACTGGGCATGTACCTGAGTGGCATACGTGAGAGTGGCGGCGAACCCGCCCAACGCGAGCCGTGATTGCTCTCCGCTTGGGAATCGAAAAAGGCTGGATGTTGCAGCAACAATCCAGCCTCGGCTACCAAGCCTATGTGCGGTCGGGCGATCAGTCGTCGGCGGCCACGGCCGGTTCACGCAGCTTCAACGGGAAGGTCCCGCCGAAGAGGCCTTTCTCCGGATGCCGCTCCCACTGCGCGGCGGGCATCTCGTAGTAGACCTCGATCTCGTTGTCGTCGGGGTCCAGCAGGTAGACGCCCAAAGAGACGCCGTGATCGCTGACGCGCTGGATGCGGACGCTGTTCTCGAGGAGCCGGTCATAGAGTTCCTGGAGGTCGTCGAAGGTCTCCATCTGCCAGGCCATGTGGGCCTGCCCGACGATGCTGTGGTCGGGGCCGGCGGCGTCCATTCCGATGGCGCGTATCGCCAGCTCGTGGGACTTCTCGGTGTTCGCCGACATGAACACGGTCCCGCTGGGCGACCGCTCCATGATGGTCAGTCCCATCACGCGGGTGTAGAAGTCCAGCGAGCGATCCATGTCTCGCACCCGCATTACCAGGTGCCCCAGATGCTTCGGTGTGTACGACATCTTTGTTCCTCCTTTTCGGGTCGGGCTTTTCGGGTAAGAGTGTTGCGGATCAGAGTATTGTGGGTCAGTTCTCCAGGGCCAGGAACTCCTGCACCTTCTGGCGGAAGGGTTCCTTGTCGTAGTTGTTGAACAGCATCATCGCGTTCCGCACGGGTTGCCGCCAAACATCCGCTCGTACAGCACCTGCCGCCCGCTGAACGAGCTGCACGACGCGTCCCAGGCCAGGTGGAACAGCTTGGCGCGGTCCCAGGCGCTGGTCGAGTCGGTGGCCAGGTAGTGGTTGACCTCCGGCGCGATGCCGGCGTCGAAGTCCGCCTCGGCCGGCAGCGCCATCAGGCTGCTCGTGCCCAGCAACTGGATGATCTCGATCATGCGCGGGATACAGCGTCCTGCCGAACAGCGCGCGGCCCGCCTGGATTGGCCCCATGGCCGGACACATCATGCCCCACTGGTTGGGCCTGGCGTCGGCCTCCGCGGCCCGCACGCAGGCGCGCAGCATGTCCCGGTAGGTGATGATCTCCGCCACCTGCTCCTGCACATGGGCAATGGAGCCCGAACCCAGCGTCTCGACGATCAGGTCCGCCAGGCCCCAGCACGAACTCCGCCTTGACCACACAGCGGTTCAGCACCTGGTAGCCAGTGTGGGCGTTGGACTGCGTTCCCGTGCCGTAGTTGTTGCACAGCTCCACGTTGCCCAGCAGGAAGACCCGCTCCCACGGCACCAGGACGTCGTCGAAGAACACGACGGTGTCCATCTCCTCGAAGCGCGACCCCAGCGGGTGGTCGAAATGGGACCGGCCCTCGTCCAGGCTCTGCCGGCACAGGAACTTCACGCCGGGGGTGTCGCACGGGATGGAGAACGAGAAGGAGTGCTTCCAATCGTCGTCCGCCAGGCGGTGGCTGGCAACGGGATAGATGGCGATTTCGTCCGAGATCGGGCCCAGCGTCGCCAGCACCCGGCTGCCCCGGACCACCAGGCCGGCGTCGGTCTGCTTGACCGCCGTCAGCGCCACATCCCCGGTCAGGTTGTCCGCCGCGGCCGGCGTGCGACTGCGCTGTAGGTTGACCAGGGCATGGGTCAGGGTGACGTCGTTCTCACGCAGAAATTCGTGATAGTCCACCACGTTCTGCTTGAACTCCGGCCGGTCCTGGGCAAAGTAGTCCGCCGAGCCGGCCCATGCGGTAAAGATGGAGTTCATGAAGTCCGGCGAGCGCCCCATCATCCCGCAGCTCGCCCACGCCCAGTGCGACATCATCTCCCGCTTGCGCACCAGGTCTTCCGCCGTGCGCGGGATCTGGAACGACAGCCCCACCGGATCCCCGGTGCTGGGGGACGCGAAGGTCATCTCCTCCCGAAGCCCGGGGTCGTGCTGCATGTCATACAGGGCGGCCACCGCCTTCACCCCGTTGCGCAGGCCGGGGTGGGTGGTTACGTCCTTAACCCGCTCGCCTTCGATCCACACCTCCCGCGGACGGTCTCGGAGGCCGGCGATGTATTCCTTTCCGGTGCGCGCTGGCATGATCATTCACCTCCTGTTGTGAAACCGCGACGGGGTTCAGATGTCGGCGGGCGACGCGGTTATTTGAACTCCGGCATGACCTCCTGGGTCAGCAGCGCCAGGCTGCGTTGCACCGCCTGCTTGGGAAGGAAACCGCCCGGGTTCAGCTCGGCGGTAATGCCGGTGATGCCCAACATGTCCTGGAACTCGTGCAACCGGTCGATGACCTGCTCGGGACTGCCGAAAATTACCCTGGTCTCCAACAGGTCCTCGTAGGTCGAGTTGGCCAGCTTCTCGTAACGCGCCTGCCGTTTTTCGCTGACTTCAACCCCCTGCCGTCCCAGAGAGTACTCGAAAAGCTCCCGCTGACGGCTGAAGAACGCTTCGATGCTGTCCTTGGGTTCCTCAATAGCCTCCGATTCGCTGGGCGCGATGTACATCGGAACGCGCACGTTGATGTCCCCGCCGTCGCCCGGGTGACCGGCGGACCGCCATTCGTCCTTGTACTCCTGCAGGTTGGTCTTCAGCTCCTCGATGTCCATGGCGCGCAGGCCCAGGAAGATGGGTTGGCCCAACCGCCCGATCCGGCCGAAACTGTCCTCGCTGCTGGCCGCAATACGGACTTGGGGTGCGGTTTCTGGTAAGGGATCGGTGACAGCGTGGCGTTGGTGATGGTGTTGAACTTGCCCTCGTAGGAGAATGTCTCTCCGGACCACGCCTGCAGGATGATGTCCAGCGCCTCCTGGAACCGCTCCTTGCTCTCACCGTAATCGATGCCCATGATGTCATACGCGCGGACGTTGCCGCTGCGCCCCACGCCCAGCTCGAAGCGGCCCTCGCTGAGCTGGTCCACGGTGGCCGTCTCCTCGGCGATCCGCAGCGGGTGGATCAGCGGCAGCACCTGCACCGCCATCCCTACCCGCAGCCTCTTGGTTCGCGTGGCAATCCCGGTCGCCACAATGATGGGCGCGGACAGCACCGAGCGGTTGGGGTTAAAGTGCATTTCACCCAGCCAGACGGTATCCAGCCCCAGCTCTTCGGCCAGGTCGATTTCCTCAAAGGCCAGCTGGAACGCGTCGGCGTGCGTCGGTTGATCGCCGATGTTGAAGTTCGCGTTGATCCCGAAGTCCATAGATCCTCCTCATTCGTTCATGGAGGCGTATGGGCCGGAAACCTTCGCCCGACTCCTGCGCCCGGTCTGATAACGCGAAAGTACAGCACGGGCCAACCGGCGGTCAAGGCGGAATGGTCGTGCCCGTGCCCGGCTGCACATCACGAACATCGCAGCGCCGACCCCGCGCCCAATGCCGGCGCGACACTCCCTAAACCGAAGCCAAGGTGAAACCCGCACTTGGTTTGGATAGAATTGGAAGGAATTGAGAGGATCGGTTGGGAAGTTGCCGGGGGTTGCTGGTGGGTATGCTGGAGATGGGAGCGCTGCTGGAGCGGTGGCGCATGGATGAGGCTGCGGTACGACGACGGATGTACCGAGCGCCGACGCCTCGGGAGCGGGAACGGTGGCACGCGGTGTGGTTGCTGGCGCGAGGCTGGACGGCCGCGGCGGTAGCTCAGGCGTTGGAACGGGACGCCCACACTATTGGCCAATGGGCCACGGCATTCCGGGAGGGTGGTCCTGAGGCGCTGGCTTTTGAGCAGTCAGGAGGTTCCCCCCGCATTGAACCGGGAGCGGCAGGCCGAGTTGAAGGCGGCGGTGCAGGAATTGCCGTCGCAAGCTGGCATCGATTTGTCCAACTGGAACTGGAAGGCGGTGCGCGGTTGGTAGAGGAACGCTTCGGGTTGACGCTGAGCCGGAGTGGTTGCCTGAATTACCTGCACCGGTTGGGCTTTGTCCTGAAGCGTCCCAAGAAGCGGTTGGTCAAGGCAGACCCGGTACGGCGGGAAGGCTTTGTGAGGGAGTACATTGCCTTGACAGCGGCGGCCCGACGAACTGGGGCCAAGATATTCTTCGCTGACGAGGCTCACTTTCGGGCGGATGCGGATCTGCGGGCCAAATGGGTGCTGAAGGGTGAACCGGCGCTGGTGGACTCCACCAGCCCGCGACGTGGGGAGAAGGCGAGCTACTACTCGGCGGTGTGCCTGGAAACCGGAGAGGTGGAGGTTGCTGGAACTGGAAGGTAACAGCAACTCCACCACCTCGGTTGCCTTCCTGTCGGTTGCCTTCCTGCGTCAACTGCGGGCGCAACACACCGAACCGTTGACGGTGATTTGGGACAATTCCCCAGCTCATAGGGGCGACGCGCTGCGAGCCTACCTGGCCAACCCCAACTTGAACCTGCGCTTGGTGAACCTGCCCACCTATAGCCCAGATTCAACGCCGACGAGGCTATTGGGGCTGGGTACGTCAAGAGGTGACCGCCAACCTGTGCCTGGGGACCCGTGCCGCAGTCCAAGAGAAGGTGGGCGACTTTTTCGCCAGCCTGTCCAGCCGATCGACGAAGTCAAGCGCCGATGCCAGACCGTGCTCAGGCTCGAGCAGCAGAACTGACTGCCAGCACTCAAGCCGACCCTTCCCAT